AATACTATCAGACATACTGTGAAAATGTCCTTGCTCTGTTAAACTGTTATCTGTAAAAAAATTTTGCTATGAAAGTGAAATTACAGAACCTACACTCGGGAACCTGGCTAAAATGCTTAATTTAGAGGAAACTCTTCAATCAATTTATACATTTTTGTAATTTTTGTTGTATTATATTAATGAAAGTGTTGTTTTAATAATATTATAATGATTAAATGGCTACTGTTAATTGTAAAAAAAACAACTGTTAAATACAACAATTAAATTTTGTCAAAATGGCTGCACTGTAAAAATGGTTAACTTATTAGTAAAATAACTAAAAACACTGTTTAAATTTTTAAAATGTCAATGTTTTTTTCAAATGTCAAAAAATGACAGTAAAATTCATAATTTAAATTGTTCATTCATTCATTTTCTTGTCGGCTTAGTCCCTTTATTAATCCGGGGTCGCCACAGCGGAATGAACCGCCAACTTATCCAGCAAGTTTTTATGCAGCGGATGCCCTTCCAGCCGCAACCCCTCTCTGGGAAATAATTTAAATTGTATTTATATTTAATATATTTTTTCTCTAAATAATCTACATTTTTAAATATTCTTTAATTTTAAACTAAAAAAGTCTGCTTTTTATTTTGTTTATTTTTTTGTGTAAAATTGTGTATTTATAATTAATTTTAATTAATTTGAAATTAATATGATAATGATATTTTATTTTGTTTATTTTTTATTTTATTGAGTGTATATACAGCGGCGAAAATAAGTATTTGACACATCACTATTTTTGTCAGGAAACATATTTCTAAAGGTGCTGTTGACTTGAAAATTTTCCCGGATGTTGGTAACAACCAAAGAAATCTATATGTGCAAAGAAAACAAATCTAATTAGTTTACAAATGAAGTTATGTGTAATAAAATGAAATGATGCAGGGAAAGAGTATTAAACACATGAAGAAAGGGAGGTGTAGTTCGGCAGTGAAAGCCCAGACAGCGGCTGAAATCTCTCAGTAGTTCTTCAGCAACCCTCTGCCCTTCCTCAGTGTAAATGAATATCAGCTGGACATTTCATGAAATGAAACCAGGGTGGACATTTCAGCAAGACCATGATCCAAAACACAGCCAAGGAAACTCTCAGATGCTTTCAGAGAGAGAAAATCAAGCTGTAGAATGGCCCAGCCAATCACCTGAGGCGAATCCAATAGAGTGCATGAGACTTCATTCTCCATATGCGAGGCATCTTTAAGCTCCCAGCACCATTATTACCAAAATCTGCTTCAATTCCATGTCAACAGCTCCTTTAGAAATAATATTCCCAGGAAAAAAAACATCACGTGTTAAATATTTATTTTCCCCGCTTTATTATTAATTTGATATAATATTGAATTAAGATATATATTTTTCATCATCAATTACCCTGCACGTCTTGTCAAATAAAAGCATCATTTTCAGTATCTTTAAACCAGCACAGTGAAGAACAGATGTCAAACAGTTCAGAATCCAGAGCTACATATATAAACGTAATAATGCCGGATGACACTCTCGGGTCTCTCCTGAAATCTCTCTGCGTCCTGCTTAAAGCCGTAACTCTGCGTGTGGAGGTTTTGCGGGATGAGGGAGTTTAATGGGCCAGAAAGAGACGCATCTGTCCTTCGCTGAGCTCATTAACACTCGTCTGCAGGAGCGTTTGCTTTCTCTGTCGGAGTCTCAGCGAGGTGTCGGAGAGTGACTGATCTGATGGAGGTGCGCGCTCAATTAATGCTGTTCACTCTCAGAGAGAAAAGCCTTGAGCGCTGAATAAATGCTCACGGCAAATGCACGCCTTCAGTCCTGGTCAGAGAACAGATGCCATGGCTTCAGGCTCAATAATAATAATGATAACAGAGTGATGGGCAAATCTTTCTCTGCGTAAATGTGTTGCTTATTTTGGTTTGTGTCTCATTCGTGTCTTGTTGCTGGTCAATTAAAGATGCAAACACATTTAGACAGGTAACTGAATATAGCTTGAACACTGTTACCGATTTTTGTAAATGTAATATGAACTGCGTGTACTGTTGGGGGCGGCACGGTGGCTCAGTGGTTAGCACTGTCAGCGCAAGAAAATTGCTGGTTCGAGTCCCATTTGGGTCAGTTGGCATTTCTGTGCAGAGTTTGCATGTTCTCCTCGTGTTGGCACAGGGCTTGAAATTGCAACCATTTTGGTCGCATATGCGCCTGAAATTTAAGCTATGCGACCTCATAATATATATCGGAAGCATTCGTGCGACTGCATATAATGGTTGTAGTGTTTTTTTGTACCTGTTTTTTTGTTTTTTTTTCTAAAAACGTGGTAAAATCGGTCTTCCCTGCCGCTATATTGGTTCATATGAGCTGTCAATCACTCAAGACTTTCCGCTGTCAGGTGACAGGGAGGGAGCTTTTGTGACTGCGGGGAATGCAAACAGCTGAAGAGCAAGCGGCAACCTCCCGCTCTCTCTCAGTAGGCCAATACGGAAGTAACTAAAACTGCAATTCATCCGAAGTTCCGCTAGTCCTGGCTGCTCCGGGCTCCAAAATAGAGCAAATTTCAGTTGAGCCAACTGTTAGAATGGCCAACTTTACAGCAGAAAAAAGGTGTTTACAGCCTGCTACAAAAAAAGATTTTGGTTCATACAGCTAATATTACCCTTCAAAACAACTGTGAGGGGGGTGAATTTTTTAATAACTCATCCGTTTCCTTTATATTAAGTTATATTAAGTTTGCATAATTAGGGGTGTGGCCACTTGAGTGACAGCTAGGTCTCGTTGGTCGCCGTCACGTCACCTCAGCTGAATCCTGCAGATTAGCCACTGAACTCGGCATATTTATCGTATTTCTGTGTTGTTTTATGTGGCTTTACACAGTCGACTGCCTTTTGGACTTGTTTCCTACAATTATTAGATGGCATGGCATGCTGAGTGCACTTAATTGTGCTCACAAACCATTCACGTGGCCTCCGTTTCCCCTGTGAGTAAAGTTATTTACTTATATACCATCTCTATACATGTATTTGTTTTATTTAAGATCATTTATCGTTTATATTTATATTTAGAGCTGTAATGCACTGCAGAATCTGTCAGATTGATTAGCTGTAGGCTCTAGAACAGTCATCTGAAGTGTTGTCATACAGTGTTATGCTGGATTTTATCAATAGTCTTACAGTAACTAACACAGACTATATCTGAAGTGTTTGGAAGTAATTCGCGTTTTCCTCCTGTTTAAAAACGTCATAAGAACAGTGTTTAGTGGCTCATGTATTACAGCAGTGTTTTTAAAAGACTAAACACTTTATTGATATAGTGTACAACCAAGCACAAGTGGTCAGAATACAAACGAGTCACAGGTGATGAAGTATTAAGCATTTCTCCTAAAGTAAAGTGTGTCTGAACCAGGTCCAAGCTAAATGCCAGCAGGTGTCTGTAGCTCCGCCCACTCTCCGCCTCTTTGCCCTTGTTTGGTATCCCGCCGTGGGTGTGATGACGCGCGAACAAAATGGCGATGGTTGGCCGCGCCTACTTGTGGCTTCTTTTGCGCTCTTCAGAAACCTATGGGTGATGTCACGGATACTACATCCAAATATTTTACAGTCTATGCTGAAGAGTGAAAAGTACACTGAATCTCGATGTGTTGCATGCACTGCGGGTTCAGGCAACACAATCTCACGGCAATTCGTAACTTTTTCATACGTTTCCTCGTGAGATCAGGCTGCAACAGCGCAAATGTCCGCTAAAACACCATCGCCAAAGAAGCTCGCCTTTACTGAGTTTAAACTGATGCGGGTTATAATAAAGAACAGTATTGCGCCGTTGGTCATCGGGAGAATCCTGCTCTGCCCCCCTCATATTGGGCCGGCTGACTCGCATGCTTTTCCACAAACACAGACAAATGTCATTCAGCGCGTAACGAGGCTGAGCATTAAAACGACACAAACCGAAACCAAAACTTTTAAAAGTGACACTTTTCTTCCTTTCTTTTGTCCGTTCTTTCTTGAGGTGTACATTATTTTCCTATTTAATTACTGATGACTGCTTTGCAGCTTTCAGCATTGAATTGAATGATTTATTATATTATTTTGTTTGTTTTGTAGCAGAAATATTATTTATTAAATTGACATGCATATAAAAACAATAGTACAAAATAAATATTTCTTACTACAATGCTTCATTTGTGTTTGATACAAACCATCAATTTATTTTTCAGTAGGACTTTATATAGCAGATAACTTGCATTAAAGCACATTCAAGGCAGCATGATGATGAGAAACATAATTCATTATTAGTATTATTGTCGTCATCATCATCGTCATTAATATTTTATAATTATTCAACATTCATTATGGAATTATTGCACAAATATTAAGTCATCACAGCATTAGTTAGATAAATGTTTCTGGGTTTTGTTAGTCCTAATTGATGTTGTTTTCAAATACAATAAATCCCTTAATATACAACTTGTCAAATATATAATTCATTTTTGGTGGGTGCTCCTACATTTTTTCTGGTGCTCCTAAATATTTCAGGTTGGGAGCACCGGTGCTACCAAGTAAGAAAGTTAATTTCGAGCCCTGTGGCATGGGTTTCCTCCGGGTGCTCCGGTTTCCCCCACAGTCACATGCGCTATAGGTAAATTGATGAACAAAGTGAAGTTTAGTTATAAACTAATTTCGAGAGGATCACATGCTTATGATTGCTCGCAGCCGGCCCTGCATTATTCAATTTATGATTCACCAATCAGACGATTCCTAAGCCACTATACATACTTTAAGTTCCATATCACAGCCATCTTCATTTTGAAGAATCCCCCCTTCCACCCCTACTCCTCCTCCTTTCCTAGATGGGTGACACGATGGCCCAGTGGTGAGCACTAGTGCCTCACAGCAACAAGCCAAATTGGCTAGTGGCAGAGCTGAAATCTACCCGCATTTGGCGGGTGTTAATGTAAAACCCTGACTGTAAATATATATTTCTTTGTATATGAGGAAACACTCACCCCGTACACCAGCTCCCCAACCATGCCGTTCCAGATCTTCGTCTCTGGGTCTCTGGCTCCGTATTTCCCATCCGGCACGATTGAGATCTTGTACTTGATGCCGATATGTTTGGCGATTTCAGACGCCAGATCCACACAGTAACCTTCAAACTGCTCGTTCCCCTCGTACATCTCCCAGTTCTTCTTCAACATCACATACGGCCCTTCCTAAACACACACACACACACACACACACACACACACACACACACACACACAAACACACACACAGAGGTGGGCAGGGATGGTCAAGCTGAACTCAGAATTACACTGCATTATGAATTACAATTAAACATAAATGCTAAAAACAGAACTTTATATACAGGCTAATTACATTCATTTAAGGACTAATTCAAAGCACAAAATAATAGCTTTTTAATTTGATATTCAAGAACATAAAATGAGTTTACTGATAAATATATTCCAGTTGCATGCATTAATAATATAAAGTACAAATAATTGACTTTTTAAAGCAGAGGTCTCAAACTACCGCCCTGCCGGTCATTTACAACTCGTTCTCCTCCTCCGTCCACCCCGAAAGTCACATCAAAAATATAACGAGATTCGACCCGCAAAAAATATATTTTTTGAGCCACTATCTTTGTTGTGCAGTCCGGTCTAGCCACTTGTGGTTTTGACCCGCCATCTAGTCGACATATAAAGTACTGCATTCAGATTAGTTTAACTTTCTCTCAGTGTACGGTCGACAGTAACACATGTGTTTTAATATTGGCTGATTTATACGTTGAAATACATGTCTGTAAGTGCTCTACTTCTGCTAAAGCACCTGTAATTTGTTGTTCAAACACTTCTTCATGGCTTAAACCTTATGCTGGTGGTGTAAAAAATATGATCAATTTGCAAATTTTCGATTTGAATGGCCTCCTTTAATAGATTTTCTTCATATGCTTATTAAAATTAGCATAAAAACTATGCACATTAGTAAAATGTAGTGCTGGTTGAATTGGACTTGTTAAAGTAAATGTGAATGTTTTGGAGTGGCCATCACAAAGCCCTGATCTCAATCCTGTTGAAAATTTGCCGGCAGAGTTGAAAAAGCTCGTGCGAGCAAGACAGCCTACAAATCTGACTCGGTTACACCAATTCTGTCAGAAGGAATGGGTCGAAATTCCTTCAAACCATTGTGAAAAGCTTGTGGAAGGATACCCAAAACATTTGACCAAAGTTAAACAGTTTAAAAGCAAAGCTAAAAAATACCAAGGAAATATATGTAAACTTTTGACTGTCTAAAAATTAATAAAGAATTCCCTTTATTTAGATGTTTTGTATGTAAACTTCTGGTTTCAACTGTACATACGTTTACCTCTTTGTTGTAGTTTTACAAAAATAAAGAAAGATATTGAGAATAACAATCGGCAGTGAAGTCACTTTGTTAGTGGCAGTGAAGTCACTGAAGTTACCCAAACAGCTTTCTGCTGTTTTTAAGGCTCTGGGATAATACAATTGGTTGGGACAGAATAATAACTTTCGCAAAAGCCAACATACTGTTATACTACTCCATCTTCGAAACCAAACGTATCTCCTACTAGGCCGTTTATGCTACATGGCCCAAATTTGGTCAAAATGTGCCTTCTGCATTTAAGATTGTTGTTATATCTCCTCATGCTGATAAGTTTTTTAGTTTTTGAATAAAAAAATGTGAAATATAACTTTTTAATACAAGCCCCAAATAGATTTTGTTGCTATGTCTTTTTAGGTTTATCTTATCTGCTCTCACTTCTGCAGATCTATGTGCCCTCCAGAAACTTGCGTTCTGTGAATGAACGTCGCCTTGTGGTTCCATCCCAAAGAGGGAAGAAATCACTTTCGCGAACGCTCACGCTCAATCTGCCCTGTTGGTGGAATGAACTCCCTAACTGCATCAGAACAGCAGAGTCACTCGCTACTTTCAAGAAACGACTAAAAACTCAACTATTTAGTCTCCACTTCACTTCCTAATCTGCAATTGCCTCTTTGAATATCACACTAACTGTACAAAAAAAAAAAAAAAAAAAAACTAATACTACTAATACTTCCCTTCTTAGACTTTACAGACCTGAAACTTGCCTTTAGCACTTATTCATTGTTGCTCTTAGTTGTGTAAATTGCTTCCTTGTCCTCATTTGTAAGTCGCTTTGGATAAAAGCGTCTGCTAAATGTAAATGTATCAGACTTGTGGTTTTCCAATAAATAATTTTTAAGCATTACTTTTCCCAAAATATGGCAAGCCATAAACTCCATGACTTAAACTAACCTTTTTACTGATATGGCAAGCCATTTTAGCATGTATCCCTTTCACACTTTTTAAGCATCATGTTTTATAATAAAATATGGCAAGCCATTTTGGCATTAATATCCAAGTCCAGTTTTTGACTGTCATAGAGACATCAGGGTTGATTTATATCACTTATATTGGCAAAAGGCTTTAATGTATCGTCACTAAGCTGTCAATTGTCCCCATAGCAATAAAACAGGCTAACCTAGTAACCAAAACAGCAATATCTCTACATCATTGCAGGGACCTGGGTATTGGCTCGTTTGATTCATGCTAGCAAATGGGACTTCCTGTGTACTATGCATGCTAGTGATGATTATCTAAGTTCAATAACATATGCTAGAAATGTCTGCTAAGTATTAGCATTTGATCAAACATGCACAAGCATTGCCATTTAGCAACTGCTCAGCAACCATCTAGCAATGCCATAAACATTTTAGCAACTGCCTAGCAACCACTTAGCAACCGCTGTGCTCATTGTCAACTCCCATTCCCAATCTTATCGCAGCCACGTTGGATTTCTCAAGCCAAAATCAAAGTTTGTCGACGAACTTTAGGTTCTAGTTAAGCCTATTATTTGTAGTGTTTTCATAGCAGTTTAAACTTCCTCTTCAATATGTACAACAAGAAACAAAAAGCTAGAGTTTTGACTGCACATACTCTGTGGGAGAATGACTGAGTGTGTCTAATGCTCGGCCATACACGCAACAACCACAGATAGATTTCAGCAGCTGATGTGTGACACCATAAACGTGCTGATTTGCATTATCACTGGTGACTGGGAATGCTTGAAATATAAATGTCATGTCTGTTGTCCTAAGATGCATCAGTTATGTCAGGTTTCCACTTTTTTTCTTGTGCTTGAATGTTGAAACGGCCCTCCTATGAATTGTCAGTCACTGAAATGCCACCTGCCCATTTGGGTTTGAGACCCCTGTTTTAAGCATTTTTAGTGAGAAACTGCTAGAAAAGTGCACAAAATGACACCAAAAATGTTTACAAGAAATCTTAACAGCAAAGTTGTAGCTCCTTATTTCAACATATTTCATATTTTTTGCATAACAGCTTTCTTTTTACAATACAAGCAACAAATAAGTGCAATTCTCATACAAATGTAACATTTATTTAATTCATTTGCATACATTTATAAAGCCGTCACTGTAATAATCATCAGATTAGAGCAAACGACAACAAAGAAGTTCATGTAATGAAACTAAAAGCATTTTCAATCAGAGAAATACACATTAAAGCAGGAATCATAGCACAAGACATATACAGTACATCTTAAAGTACATTCATTTTATAGACAATTATTTGACATTGTTTATACACCGTTTACATCAATGTTCTCAAACTCAATACCTGGAGGGCTGCAGCTCTGCATAGTTTAGCTTCAACCACCTCCAACTCACACCTGCTTAATAGTCTCTAGTAGTCTTGAATACCTTAATTAGTTGGAGCAAAACTGCAGAGCTGCGGCCCACCAGGAATCGAGACCTGTGATTTGCATGGTGTTCAGACTGAATCTAATGTACACAAGCTGTAGGTTTTGATATGGAAATTCATTCCTCTGATATGAAGGCACGTGAGAGCAGATGATAAATAAATGTAATGTTATAAGAAAATTACAGGTTATTTTTTTACGCTTAATCCCTGGACAGTAGGTCACATGACTGGTGTTCTTGCTCCTTTTTGTCAATAAATTAATGTTTTAAATGACTTCACTAGTAAATACATTAGCAGATAATGCATTCTTAAATCAATAAGTACATTTATACTCAAGTATACTACATGTGCTTAACAAAAAGTGTATTTAGAGTCAAGAATTAATAGATCAATCTGTTAAATTGGATTATAACATTGTTTATTTACTGAAGTAAAAGTATGTACAATGAATTTTAGACTAAACTGTTTACTTATTTATTAGCAGTCTTATGCTCAGTGTTCAGGTGAAATCTAATATTTTTCATAAATATAAAAATAAGTTAACTTTATATTTAATTGGACATTTAGTGATAAATAGGGCTGCATGATTGTACAGTAAGAACCAGTTTAATATTAATACATTTTATATTATTTTGTTGTTGAAATGTTATTTTAAAGTGATAACTAAAGATCTAATTCCTGACAAATTTATGTTTCATATTCATGTATGGCAAAATTACTTTTGATGCTTTATTATGTCTAATTTGTGTGCTGTTTCTTTAATGCTCGCATTCTCTTGAGAAGTGAAGTGTTGATGCAAGTATTAGAGATACCGTTTTCTTACCATCTGTGGACAGTTTAAGGGCCCTATCATACACCCGGTGCAGTGTGGCGCAAGACGCGATGCATTAGTCTTTTGGTAGTTTCAGCTTGGCGCAAGAGTGGTTTTGAGGCGTTGCGCTACGCTGTTTAAATAGCAAATGCATTAGCGCTCATTTGTGCGCCCATAGGCGTTCTGGTCTAAAAAGATCCGCTGGCGCGTTGCTATTTTGAGAAACTATAATAGATTTTTCATTAGACCAAAACTAACCCGGTCTAAACTCCAGCGCAGAGTTGCACCTCGCTTACACTCTGCTTAATACGCACAAGAGTGCAATAGGCAAATATCTTTACATATGAAAAAAATTAAATATTAAGGATATAATAAGAATAGATATAAATATAAAGGATTAAAATATTACAAAACATATTATTTTCTAGCCTACATAAATATGAAAAATCACTGCTTTTATGTCTTCTTCACCTCGGGAGGCTTTTTCAGTTCATTCATAACAATTTGCTTTTGTATAATGTTATTATTATTAGCAGTATTATTTATTATATCCATATTTATATTTGTTTTATTAAAAACAAGCTTAGATTTGCCCACCTGTCAGGTTTTAGACCATATGGGGCATAGCATGTGTTT